ATGGTAGTCTTGAACAAGCTTGCAGATTGAAATGGCACAAGGTAATGCTTGTTATTCTCTTATTTGGTGTATGAAGTCAAGTCTGATGGCTACACAAACTACAGGTTATATTGTTTCTGTGAGGTGCGGCTTTTAAAGAGAAGTGGCATGCTTTAATAGGGTGCATGGGGAATTAGGGATGCACAATTGGCCAGAATAATTTTTTTTTTTTTTTTTAAATTTTTCCAGGTACTTTGGACCATCAAAGAATTGGATAAAAAGTGGTTACTTCTTCACAAACGTAAGACAGCTCTTCAGATGTACTATGAAAAGTGCTATGATGAAGAATGTGAGAAGATTGGTGATGACATTGAACTTTCTTTGCATAAGCGGCAACTGTTTGAGTCAATCATTGAATCTCTCAATAAGGTGGAATGGGAGGGAGAGATCGATGATGTGGACATGAAATTCGGTTTGCATTTTCCTTTAGACACAGAGATCATGGATGGTAAACTCAAGAGGCCCTATAGAAAATCACTATATGGTAACTGCAAGAAGGCTGGTCTGTGGAAACTTGCAGGCCAGTTTGGCTGTAACTCTGAGAAACTTGGTGTGCGGATTGCTTTAGAAAAAGTGGTGGGTTCTCCTTACTTTATGCAGCATTTTATTTGCATGGTTTCTTTTAATTCTGATAAAGGCATCAGTCTCTGCTCCTTTGAGTATAGGGAATGGAGTTTTCTGAGGATCGTGATGAAGCTCCAGAGGAGATAGCTTCAATATATACATGTCCCATGTTTGAAAACCCAGAAGCAGTGCTTAAAGGTGCAAGGCACATGGTATGCCTAGAATTCTTGTAAGTGATTCTCTTCTTTTTGAAGGGTTTTTTGGTTATTGTTTCTTAACTGTGTGTGTGCTTTAGGCTGCCATGGAGATCAGCTGTGAGCCATGTATCAGGAAATATGTCCGTAGCTTTTTTATGGATAAAGCTGTGGTCTCAACAAACCCTACCGCCATAGGAAATGTAGCAGTTGATTCCTTACATCAATTTACAGCTGTTAAATGGCTACGTGACAAGCCACTCTCTAAATTTAAGGATGCTCAATGGCTACTTATTCAGAGAGCTGAGGAAGAGAAACTCCTTCAAGTCACCATGAGATTACCTAAAAATGTCCTGAATGACTTGCTTGATAATTTCAGTCTTGCTTATCTACGGGATGGTGCTGGACCATCTGCTGAACTTTGGAATGAACAGTGCAAGTTAATTCTGCAGGATACCATTTTCAACCTTCTTCTCCCTGCTATGGAGAAGGAAGCACGAGTCACTTTGATTGCTAGAGCAAAAAATTGGCTGCTTATGGAATATGGAAAGCAGTTATGGAAGAGGGTCTCTGTTGGTCCATATCTAGACAAGGAAAATATTGCCAACTTAGAGAAAGGTATTCCTGCACGAGTAATGGCTTGCTGTTGGGGTCCTGGGAATCCTGCAACCACATTTGTGATGCTGGATTCATCAGGTGAATTGCTTGATGTGTTGGATGTTGGTTCACTTCACCTACATTCACAAAATGTCTATGCTCTGCAACGCAAGAAAAGTGACAAGTTTAGTGTCCTTAAGTTCATTGCAAACCACCAGCCGCATGTTATTGTTATTGGTGCTGCAAATGTAAGCTGTGTTAAGTTGAAAGATACTATCAAAGAGGTATGCTGTAACTACCTTAATTACTTCTAACATTGGGTTAGCTCGACTTTCTTTCTTCCCCACATTTGGAATCTCAAGTTGATTTCTTTCATATTCTTAATCAGATTGTGTCTAAAATAGAAGAAAGTAGAGATGCTAACCAAGCTATGGGTAGGATTAATGTTGTTTATGGAGATGAAGCTTTACCTCAACTTTATGAAAGCTCACAGATTTCATCAGATCAGCTGCCAACACAATCAGGTTATTGTAATTACATTTGTCTCCTGAGATATTATTTAAATTCTGTTACTACTTATTGTCTATTATCTCTTTTTAAATTAGTTTACTAATTTAGTTTTTTATGTTGGGATTTGATTTGTGGTAGGCATTGTCAAGCGAGCTGTGGCTCTTGGTCGTTACATCCAAAATCCTTTAGCTGTGGTTGCAAATCTATGTGGAATCCAGAAAGAGATTGTATCTTGGACATTCAGCCCTTTAGAGCATTATCTAATGCCAGATGAGAAGTATGAGATGATTGAACAGATTATGGTTGATGTAACCAATCAGGTAGGTCTTGACATAAATATGGCTTTGAAGCATGTTTGGTGTCTTCCTTTGCTTCAATTTGTTTCTGGACTTGGACCCCAAAAGGCAGCCTTTTTAAGACGAGAAATGGTTGAAGGCCGAGCTATTAGTGATAGAAAGGACTTGACTAGTTTTGGTCTTAGCACAAAGGTGGTGTTCCATAATGCAGTTGGTTTCCTGTGTGTCCGTCACAGTGGGCTGCTACGCCCTCGCACTGATATTGAGCTGTTGGATGATACTAGAATTCACCCTGAGTCGTATGGTTTGGCAGGGAAACTTGTGAAGGCCATTTGCAATGATGCTTTGCAAGAAGTCGTCATAAAATATGTTAAGGAGAATCCAAAATTGCTGAATGAGTTTAATGTTGATGATTATGCAGATAATTATGAAATAGTGGAAGGTGAAAATATGAAAGAATCCCTTTGTCATATTAAGATGGAATTGCTATATGGATTCCAAGACCCACGAGCAGCTTACAAAGAACCAACCCAGGATGAGGAATTCAAGATGATAACTAGAAAATATGGAGATGCATTTGCTGAAGGAAGAATAATTGAGGCTAAAGTTCAGCAAGTTCAATCTCAGCAAGCATTCTGCATGCTTGATCTGGGGTTAACTGGAATACTCATGAAAGATGATTTTTTGAATGAGGGTGGTGATTTTGCTCTGCAAGATAAGCTGCATGGTGGTGATACCATATCATGCAAGATTAAACATATTGATAAGACAAGTTATCAGGTTTTTTTGACTTGTAAAGATAGTGATATGAAGAGGACAAGAGATGAGGATTTCTGTGACGTGGACCCCTATTATTGTGAAGGTGAGAGCTGTCCAATAAATCAGAAGGAGAATGCCTGCAAGGATAAAGAATTTTCCAAACAAAACTTCATGCCAAGGATTATTAATCATCCAAAGTTTAAAAACATGAGTCTAGATCAAGCAGTGGAGGTAGCTTTTTTGCAGAGATAAGTTTCTTCTTCTTATTATTATTGTTTATGTTATTGGAATCATGTTTGCTGATTAAATATGTTTTGCATATTCTTCTGAGCAGTTCCTTTCAGACAAGGATGTTGGCGACAGCCTTTTTCGTCCCAGTTCAAGAGGTCCATCTCATTTGACTCTAACTTTGAAAGTATTTGAGAAACTCTATGTTCACAAAGACATCATTGAAGGAGGAAAAGATCAAAAGAACTTGACAAGCTTGTTGCATCTTGGGACAATATTGAAGATAGGTGACGATACTTTTGGGAATTTAGATGAGGTTGGTAACTCTCTCTCTCTCTCTCTCTCTCTCTCTCTCTCTCTTCATGGCTGTACGATAAGACAAAGTCTATGCTCCATCCCTTTAAAAAAATGGTTGTGCTCCTTCCCCCCATACTGATAGTTCTCATCCATTACATACGTTTACTTGTTAAGTTTCTGTTGCAGACTCTAGTCTCTTCTGATGCCTCAAAAATATAGTTTGAAACTTGAAGATTTATTTTTTTTATGACATGGGGACATTTATAAAAAAAATGTTTATTTTTTTTTCTTTTCTTTTTTTTCCCTCAATCTTGGTATGTTATATATTACCTATGAATTTAACATAATAAGGTCCTAAGGTGTTTTGACGGTTATTGAACAAGTTTCTTAGAGTTATGGATTAATATTTGTTATGTTTGTTTTGGCATTAGGATTTGCTATTTGACTAGAATTGCAAGCCTTACGAATTTTGCTTGTACTTTGTATCAAAACAGGTTATGGATCAATATGTAGAACCCATCATAAAGCACCTAAAAGAAATGCTGAGTTTCCAAAAATTCAAGGGGGGTTCGAAGGCAGATGTTGATAAACTTTTAAAAGCTGAGAGATCGGAAGATCCTATGAAAATAGTTTATGGCTTTGGTGTTTCATATGAGCATCCAGGCACTTTCATTTTGACTTATATAAGGAGTGGAAACCCACATCATGAGTATGTTGGTTTGCTTCCTAAGGGATTCAAGTTTAGAAAGCGAATCTTTGAGAAGATTGAGCACCTTGTTGTGTTTTTTCAGAAACACATTAATAGCGTGCAGCCTAACTCAGCAACATGCAGAAACCCTTCATTGGGTGCTTCTACCGGAGAATACATGGGTAGTGGACCTAGTGGTTGGCAGGGGCAGCTGAATTCAAGCAGGGGAAAATCTGTTTCAAAAGGTAAATCAACTTTCACTTACAGCTTACTATCCCTGTACATGCACTTCGTTTGGTTACTTTCAGGCAAATTAGTTTTATAATACTACTGATATGGCATGAGAGTTGACACATGTAGCTAGCATAGCCAAGAAATGGTGCCTTCATTCTGTAGCCTTGAGTTTCCGAGATGCAATCCTTTATTCTAACTTGAATATACACTAGTAATGACATTTGGTTTTATCTGCAATAGACTAAAAATTACGAACATTTACACAAAATGTAAACAGAAGTAGATATTGTCCTCAACGAATTCGCTTTTTACAGTTCAGACTATAAAACACCTTTTCATGTCTTGAAAAGGACCATTTTTTTCAGTAACTTTTAGAATAATGAATAATTTTCATTTGACTTGTTTCTTTTTGACATACAGGTGCAGATGATTATTGTGGAGATGGTGGAAATGGAAATGAACAGCCTAGTCAAGTTGGTCCTTTAAAATGGGGCTCGTGTCTTAAGGATGAAGATGGATCTTTGGATGGATGGAGCAGTTCTCTTTATGCTTCCAACACGTGGAACTCTCCCAACAATGAATCGGTTCCGGTTGGAGGCGATGATTGTGCTGATGTGATTGGTGGAAACTGGTGCAGTGATTATAGCAATAGGAACAGTGGCTGGAACAAAGGCAGTGGTGATGATAACCTTTGGAGTGGTCTTGGAGGCGTTAATACTGGTGGGCAAGGACGAGGCCGTGGATTTGGACGCAACTCCTTTGATAGTGGGTATGTTAATAACAGAAACGAAACTGGATGGGGTAGAGGAAACAAGGATCAGGTTGGTGCTGGTGGTTTGCGTGGCAACAATGATAATAGAAGTGGCGGCTCTTGGGGTAGCAATAGGGGAGGTTTGCACGTTAGTCGTGGCAATCGATGTGGTCGTGGGTGGGGCCGTGGCTGTGGACAAAGACAGGATTCTAGCAATAAAGGAGATGATGACAGCAAGGAAAACTGGGGCAGTAGCAGGGGAAACATAAGATGGAGCAACAGAGATGACAATGGTGCTGATGGTTGGGGCAGCAACAATGATACCAGTGGTGGTGGCTTTTGGGCCGGTAACAATTATGCTAAAGGTGGTGGCTCTTGGGGTGGCAAAGAGGGAGGTTGGCATGCTGGTGTTGGCCAGCGGGGTGGTCGGGCTTCAGGTCCAGGTCCAAGCCGTGGAGGACGTGGACATAGACATGATTCTTACCACCGTGGAGATGATAGTGGAGAAGGAAATTTTCATGGTGAGTGGAACAGAAGCAGAAATGAAACTAGATGGGGCAGCAGTGTAGGAAATGGCACTGGTGGATTGGGTGGCAACAAAGAAAATGAAAGTGGTGGATGGCATGTTAGTGGTGGTGATAGTCAGGGTGATGGCAATGGTCATGGTCGTGGTCGGGGTCGGGGTCGGGGTCGGGATTCGGGTCAGAATCATAGCCGTGGCCGTGGACCAAGACATGAGTCTTGCAACAGGGGAGATGACACAGAGGAAGGAAAAGTTTCTGGTGGGTGGAATAGAAGTGGAAATGAAAATGGATGGGGTGGCAACAACGACGTTAGAACTGGTGGCAGCTGGGGTGGCAACAAGGGAGATTGGCATGGGAGTAGTAACAACCAGGCTTATTGCAATGCGCCCCGTCAGAGGTGGGGTCCAGATTGTGGCCGTGGTCAAGATCGTGGTGGTCGCCGTGGCCGTGGAAACAAACAGGGTTACCTAAATGATGGGGATGATGACAAAAAAGATGAATTTACTCGTGACTGGAAAAGAGGTGGAAATTGGGGCGGTGGCAGGGGAAGTAGTGGCAACAGTGGTCGTAGTGGTGGAAACTGGGGCGGCAATGGTGGTGATAGGAATTCCCGAGGTGGTAACTGGGGCGGCGGAGATGGTGGAACTGACGCTGGTGGCAGCAGTTGGGGTGGTGGAAATGCATGGAACAAGGGTGGCAATGGCAGTTGTTGAAATTTCTTTTGGTTTTTTTGAAAGGCAAAGAAAACTTTAATTAGTGGGAGTACAAGGTGATATATAGACCTTTTGTGTGGCATGTAAAAATTAAATTATAGCCTTATATTCATCCTTATATGCTGAATGGACGCTTTACTTCTTAATATCAATTGTTATTATTAATAGCGCTTTCAAGGTAGATTAAATGGGCTTGGCTGGCCAAAACGACATCAAAACAGGTAATAAATTCCTCCGCCAAATTTCAATCTCACTAGCCTACATCTACTGATATCTTTGAAGTGGGTGAATAAAGAATGCCTCTGGAATCCATGTTTTGTATTTAAACTACTGATAACTTGGGGTGATCGGTAAGTTTTCTATGTATTTTTGCTTGATTTTCATATGGCAGAAGGAGTGGCACAATTTTGCTTGTGTTTAGAATTGAATGGAATGTGGAGGAAGGGGTAAATAAAGGTAGCATTTTGTTTTATTTGCATAAAGTTTTCTGGGTCTCTCTAATTCACCGGGATTATTCTCATGTTAACAAGATCTAATTATGGTTTTTTTCTTTTGACCGGCAGAGATGCTAAAGATAATACTGCAATGAAGGCAGCAGCCATGCGGTGGATAGGGGAAATGCTGCTGGAGAAGGTAAAAACAAGAAATAATGGTGTTATATCTCTTAACTTTTCTCTTCCTAGTTTCTGTCTTCCATTACCCTTTTCTTCCAGATTTTCACTTCGGATGTGCATTATTTTTTGAGCTCCTGGGCTCCATCACTCCTGTATGTGCTTTATATGGAATTAATAAATATTATCCCATATGTTCATTTCAATTTGACAATTTTGAGGAAATAGTTGAACCGGAAACATGGTTGAAAACATTTATGATGAGATACTGTAAAGCCACAAATCAACTTTGATTTGTACATTTCCTTGCTTTTGGATATGTTGAATAAAAAACCCCCTCATTTGATAGCATATTGATGTCTCATTCATACCTTACAGGTTGAGAC